TAATTAATAAAATGAATAGAATTTGACATCTAAGCCTGTTCTTAATTTTCAATGATATCTTAGCATTATTTTTGTATTGGTGATCTAAACCCTGGCTTTTAAAAAGAAAAAAACAACAAAGGTTACCTAGCATATAAAATTATTTTTAAAAATTGAATTAAGTTTAATTCAATTTTGGTATTAAATTTGTGTGAAATGATTTCTGGGAAACCCTGAAAATATTCTCGTTCATTTTTTAAGGCATCACTACAGTGTCATCAGTGAAATCTTCACTATCCATTGCATGGCTTAGGGGACTGAGTACATGCTTCTGTGCAGTCAAGAGGCCCCAGTAGCAGGGCAGTTGTCATCGTCTTTGAACCCCCTCCCTCCCCTGTTACTATGACACTACTATGGCACATCTGTGTTCCTCATGATACCTACATTTATAGAGACCAGGTTGGGTAAAGGCCACCTGAGTGTGTGGAGGGATTACTATAGCCTTGTTGAAAAGAGGATCTCAAATCTGCTCTTGGCACTTGGATGCCAGCAGAGAACTGGTGAAACCAAGGGGAATAGGCAATGAGTGTAGGAAGGTGTTAGGTGGCGCCAGAGAGCTTTGCTCCCAGCTCCACAGGGCTGTGATTGAACAATCTTAAAGGTGCTTCTGTCTTCACAACACCAATCCAACTGTTTCTGGGCATCAGAAGTACTAACAAAAAGAAAACCTCCTAACCGTTGCTTGATTCCCAAATGTGTTCATGATGCATCAGGAAATTTAGAGGATGTGGAAAAAAGAAAAGCACATGCATTTTAGGAAAATTTCACTGTCCCCAGTAGCCTTGGAGTTTTCATTTGTAGCATATAGGAGTATAACTTTTCACTGTGTGCCTTCATTTATTTGCTTAAAATAGCCCTGGTGGGTATCCTAACTGCTGACTATGTCTTTTGAAATAGACACATGCATCTGTTTATTTGCTTTTTAAAAAGGACCTTCTGGGTAGTTTTACATTTCTTCATGGCTTCATAGAGCATTGCCCATTATTCTGATAGCCAGGTGAGATGCATATTAGGAAAGTGCTGGAAGTCTCACTTTCTTTATGGTTGATTCCTTCCTGCTTCATACAGTTCTCCTAAGCTGCCTTCCATACATGTGTCCCCATGGCTACCATGGGGATCCCGCTTCTACATTAGTCTGCAGTTCTGATGCCCCAGTTCTAACTGATGACCCCTGATTATTACCTCCCCTTTCCTGGCCTGCATTTTGATATCTACGTCTGCATTTGTGTCAACATGACAGACAGACTTACCCACAGTGATGTCCTGTAGCTACCAGAGATGGACAATAGACCTTTTGATTGTTTTTTGTAATTGCAAAAAATAAAACCATAAAATTTTACCGTATGACTATTTTAAGTGTTCAGTACTGTGAAGTATGGTCACACTGTTGTACAACCTATCTCTAGACCTCTTTTTATCTTGCAAAGTGGAAACTCTGTACCTATTAAATAGCATCTCCCATTCCCTCCTGCATCAGCCCCTGGCATCTACCATTCTACTTTTGGTCTCTATGGATTTGGTTTTTCTAAGTCCCTCAGAAAAATACTAATTCTAAGTGGAATCATATAGTATTTGACCTTTGTTACCTGACTTACACCACTTAACATAATGCCCTCAAGATGCAGGCATATTACAACATTTATTCTTTCCTTTTTCTGACTAAACAATTGTCCATCGTATATGTAGACCACTTTTTGTTTATCCATTTATCCATCTGTGGAACCATATACGTTTTGTCCAAGTGGCTAACTGCTAAGAGTCAATATTAGATGCAAGTTGAATAATATTAATTGCTATGGCAGTTAAAAAAACAGTTTTTTTCTTTAAGTTTTCAGAGCGATATTTAGAATGGAATTGTTTAGCTCTGTCAGCTGCCAGCTTACTTCTGTGGTCACTGGCTGATTCATTTACAATACTGAATAGTAACTCCTATTTCCTCCTGAGGTCAGTGCAAGGGTGAGGCCTCCCCCCCTTTTTGTTTTGCTAACTGACCTAGTATAGTGTAAGTTATCAACACACCACTGTCTTTTTTGATAATAATTGAGCTCCTTTCACACTTCAAGAATTTGGTCCATGGGGGGTGATCCATTTTCTTTGAAATGGTTCTGTAAACTGAAACTTTGACTAGCTGGGAAATATTTTTCAGAAGCAGATTTAGGATTGTTATACTTCCTTCCAGTAATCTTTGCTGCATTGAAAGTAACCTCAAAATTGGTGGCATAGATAGAATAGAATTTTTAGTGATAAAGTGGTATAAGCACAAAGCAGTTGGTCTACAGGGTAATACCTGGAAACATGCTACATATTCGGGCTGGTTATTTCAAAATTAAAATATGCTCTTTCAGAAGTAGCTGCTTGTACCTGAAGGAAGGACAAGGAGGGAGGCAATTGCAGACAGGTGCTGTGCTGGACTCCTAAGCACTGAGCAGGTAGCAGCATGCTGTCTGTAGAACTACAGCTGTGATAGAATTGTCCATATCTACTCTTAACAATGGATCAGTCTCCAGCCTCACGTGGTTATTGGAGACTTGCCATGATGTGCTAGTATGTCTGAGGAGCGGAACTTCTGAATTTACTTCATTTGAATTCATTTAAATAACCGTGTATGCTACAGGCTACTGTGCTGAGCAGCAGAGTTCTAGGAACTTGAGTGACTTGCTTCCTTCCCCATGATGTCTATGTGGCCACACTTAAGATTGACACCCACCTGTCTAGGGCCAAAGCCAGGAATCAAAGCAGGGCACAGCAGGGATAAACAATTTATCTTCCACAATAACTGGACCCTCTTCTGGGGTGGCTCAGGTAGCTGGAGATGCCCCGCAGTTGGGGTCCTTGGTTCAAGCTGTTCACTAGGTTCCTATGTCCCCTCTACAGGGAACTGTAATGTGCAAGTTATATCTTTCCCTCATGTGTCTGATGCATAGCTTGAGAAATTGTGACAGCTGGGTCTGGCCTGGCATTGCTCTCTATGCAACATTTCCATATGTCTTGTTTGGGCTTCCTTGCAGCATAGAGCCCCTTGGTCATTGGATTTCTTATACAGTGAATGGTTTTCTTCAAAAAAAAAAACATTCTAAGATGTCTACAGAGAACAAGACTTCCTACTATTCACAAATATCCTAGAATGTCACTTCCTCCCATTCTGTTACTTAAGCGAGTCTCTTGGGCCAGCCCCACATTGAAGAGGAGGGAATGCAAATCTACCTAATGGGAGGGTAGCAAAGACTTTGCAGCCATTTTTAATCTAACACACATATTTTGTGAAAATAATTTCTGTTGGTTTTGCCTCTTGAGACAAAGTCTTACTATGTAGCCCATACTAACCTCAAACTTGTGATCCTCCTGCCTCCACATCCTGAGTGCTGGGACTATAGGCAGCCCCACATGGCTGCAAGCAAAACTTATTGCTGATAATTTTACTATTGCTTGCTGATAATTTTCTGGAAGAACTTTCTGCCTACGTAGCATTGCTGCTTCACTAATCCCAACTAGTACCTCAGGCATTCCAGTGGCAGGGTACAAATAGTAGCCACAAATGTTAGGCCTCTTTTTCTCCTCAGTCTTCTTTTTCTTCTCCTTTGCCTCCGGTTTTGGTCAGCCTTTTTTATTTCTCTTATTAATTAATCATAAAGAAAGATGAAAGAAGTTGTGGATATTATAACACAGAAAAAGCCAGCTAAAAATGAAATTCATGTGGCCAGAACCTTCCTCACAAGGATTTTGAGAAATTCTATGAGGAATTTCTATTCTATGAGGAATGTTTTATAATTTCTTAGTTCTGTGGTATGATGAATTTTGTCCATTTTATACTTTCTCTTCAGTACATGGGAAACTGTCATAAAGTCAACACATTCCACCCATATACTTTTCCTAATTAAAATGATTGGGCTCATCAATCATGCTTTTTGATTTTATTTTGGAAGATATTCTTTAGTGTGTAATATTCTTAGATGTTTAGGCATGCTGGGTAAAATGAGCTCTATAAAGCACCTAAAGATACTCCATGGAGTTTTTTCTCCACTCTTGATTCATCCCTAAATTGTCCCTAAGTGATGTTGTTTCTGTCCTAAGTTAGAGAAGTGAAAACTAAACTTGGCTTTATGTAGTAACCACATGCAGTAAGGAAGCTCAGAGGGCCTCCGACTTAGTAACATTCCCCTGGAGGCTCCATCCTGTAATCTGTAGGGTTTTCTAATTGGACACACCTTACCACACCCAAGCAGGTGTGGCCAAAATATTAATAATCCCCGCTTCCCCCCCCAGCCCCCCCCCCCCCCCGCCTAATCGGGGCGGGGGGAGGGGCTGTGGCATGGGAGCTGGTAAAGGCAAGTACCACACTGAGAAGCCCTGGCTTGAACGGACTTTAAGTGTGAGGCATCGTGATTACTCGACAGAGATCTTGGGTTGAATTCACAATACGTGTTACAAGGCTTAGAGGATGATGTGTCTATTAGTTTTAGTTAACTACAAGACAATTGTATTTACTTAATTAGAAGAGAGACATGAAGTTTAAACTCTGTGTGTCCCAGCTGACTAGAGGATTCAGTGACCTTTTCTCCAGCCTGATCCCTTTTCCACAGAGGCTTAGGGTCCTGTTCAAAGTGGTGCTGAAATTCTAAAGATAAGGAGAATCTGTTTTGGTTAGTGTGTGTGGGTGGGTGGGTGGGGGGAACAAAGTTTATTTACAATTTGCTTGTCTTATTTTTTTACATTTATAAAATTTGTAATTGACCAGCAATAATCATGTATTTATGGAAGCATAAATTGTAAAGAATAAGGGCTGCTTCATATTTTAGAGCCTCTGATTCCAACTCTGCATTGAGCAAGTTGGTCATTAGCAGAAATCTAGAAGAATATGCATGTGTAGATAGAGTGGGAAGCACGTTATGTGTCCTGAGCCAGCAGCCACAATCAGTTCCTATCTTGGAAGGAAGTTCCTCACTGTCTGCATTCTTTTCCAGGAGGAGTGACCCAAGCTGGAGGCCTCATTCCTGGCATGCCACCAAGTTCTCTGATGGCCACCCTGAGCTAGCGGCCTCGCAGTTAGCCTGTGCCAGCGGCTGCCCTTCCTGGCAAGGTCGGCATCATGCTAGGTAGGTGCCAATTCTCTGAGACTACGTGAAGTTTGTGTAATGTTTTGCACATGTTCACAAATTCCAGTGTACCTGTTGTCTTCAGAATGGGTTTGGTGTTTCTGATAAGACAAGTCCATCAATGCTTAATTAGGGTTAGAACCCTGAATTTTTTTCACTGAGCAGGTAAGTATGAGACAGTGGAAGACAAAAACTGAAATGATGAGGCAAAGGATGAGCAAGTGTGCTTTCTTCTGTGTGCTGTTTACTAGAAGAGGGCCTCCAGGTTTATCATTCCAGTGGAATCCCTTTGGGACTCACCAGAGGGACACCAGGCATTTAGTGGTTCTGAGCCAAGCAGAGTGGCTCTGCATGGTGGCACTCACATGTGCACAGCCACCACTCTTCTCTCAAGGGTTTTCCTATGGATTGATAGTCAGGAGATATTTATATGGTGGCAGGTATATTTATAAAAGCTCCCTGGGGTATTTTACTGTGTGTATCCACTTTACCCCCCAATCCCATCAGTGTATTAGTAGCCAGCAACCCCATGTGTTTTCTGTTAGAAGGATGAAGTATCAGCAGGTAGTACACATGTATTTCTTGGTTTTATATCCCCATGAATGCATGTGCATGTGTGAGTATGCATGCATTTACATATGTGTACATGTGTATCTATGTTTGTGTTTGCATGTGCACATATGTATCTCTGTTTGCTTGCATGTGCATGGTATATGAATGTATACAATGTGTATCTGTATGTGTACTCATGTGTGCCTGTGTATATGTCTTATGTGGGGGGATGCACATGTATGGTATCTTTGTTGTGTGTATGTGCATGCATGTCTGTCCGTGTGTTTGAAGCTAATGTAACCGTCTCAGAATCTATTTTTGGTTGATAATAAATATTGGTCTCCTACCAAAAAAATTGTACTTATGAGGCATAAGGGAAACAGCTCTCAAATACAATATTACCTATTCAGGGCAACATGAGAGGATGATATTTAGAGCCCAGGATACTTTTGAAAAGCCACAAATTCTCAACTGAATAGTAAAACTTAAGTGAGAAATGGGCCTTTCATTTCATTTTTGAAGTGACTTTAATGTAATATGATCTCCATTTAGGCTACTTGGGATCTGACAGTCTTTTTTTTTTTTTTTTTTTGTCTTTTCTTTTTTTGGTGCTGGGATCAAATCCAGGGCCTCACACATGCTAGGGAAGCACTGTACCACCGAGCTACATCTTAGCCCTCTGACAGTCTCTTGTGCTGTCCACAGTGTGGAAACTGACTTTCTGGTTTTTTTTTTTTTTTATGATACTGGGGTTTGAACTCAGGGCTTCATGCTTGTAAGGCAGGCACTCTACCACTTGAGCCATTCCACCAGCCCCACTCACTATTATTTATATCAGCTTGGACTTAGGATCTTGTGGAAGAATCACCATGGGTGAACAGTCAGGAACATGTTCCGTTTCTGAGACTACTGGGTCTGTCCTTACCGTGTAAAACCCAACCAGTCATCTACCTCCTGCAGATGACTTAGCCAGCTGTTCTCTTAGTCTTCACCCTGTAGTCACAGTTTCTTTCTCACCCCCATTCTCCCTAAACCTAATGTAGCCACAGCTTTGTTCTTCCTTGAGCATGAATGTTTCATTTTGTGAAGTTTTAAGGAAAGCATTTAACAGCCTGAATAAATAGTTTTACTATTAAGAACCACAAGTCACATGCACACAGTTACTGCCACAAAATAATTAATTTCTCAATTAATCATTTATCCTTCTGCTTTAGACACCATCCTGACAAGGAGTGTGTAGTCTTTGGTGTTCATGTGCAGCATCAATGACTCTGAGGTATACTACTCAGCTGAACCCTGTAGCACATGGTCTTGCTGGTACAGCCTGTTGCTTCTCAATCAACTATCCAGCCAACTGAGAGTTTAGAGAGGAGCTAGTCATAATTTAGTTAGTATTCGAGTTTGGAAGATAAATGTTATTTCTGAAGGTTTCCTTGTAATTTAAAAATTACTCCCATTTGTTTGCTTCCTCATCCATGTTAATAATCTATGATAAGAATTCATTGTATACACTAAAGCAGGGATCCACAAACCATGTACTGGGCTTAAATGTTAAGTTATTTTTAGGGTTGTAGGCCAGTCTCTGTCAGTTATTCAACTTTACTGTTGTAACACAGAAGCAGCTACAGACAATATATAGACAAATGGCCACAGTTGTATTCCAATACAAATTTATGAACTGAAATTTGAATTTCATAGAATTTTCACAGGTAAAGTAGGAGAAATATTATTCCTTTGATTACTTTTCCCTTGACCACTTAAAAGGATAAAAACTATTCTTAGCTCATGAGTTGTCATTTGCTATCCCCTACACTTAACTACAGATGGACCATGGAAGTGTTCATTTAGGCATTGCCAGCAATACAGGCATTAGGTTGAGAAAATTTGCTTGTATTGAAGGAGGCCATTAAAAAGGCATTCAGCAGGTAGAGCACAGTGCACTTGATCTCTAACCTTGTCCATTGTTGTCACTCAGTGCTAAAGCAAACCTATTGCTTGTGTTCTTTTCATTGCTGTAGTTCTTCCTCCCATGACTTGTCTGGATCCTGGGAACAGATGACCACTTTACAGCGCACTTCTGACCACTTTAGTTCTCTGGGGAGCGTTGACAGCCTGGACCACCCCTCCCAGCCCTACCCGTCTGGACGCCTCTCAGCTGCCAAGTCTAACAGCAGCATTGAACACCTGGGCGGTCACAACAAACGTGACTCAGCATATGGTTCATTCTCCACGAGCTCCAGCACCCCTGACCATACCTTGTCCAAGGTTGATGCTTCCTCCACAGAGAACATCCTCTACAAAGTTGGCCTGTGGGAGGCGTCCAGGCCAGGTAGCAGCCGGCACGGTCATGCCATGAGTGACCCTCAGGGCTTGGAGGACAGGCCCCCGTCTTTCCTACCCAGAGTATCTGGAGACAACAGTAAAAGCCCCAGGCCAGAGGACAGTGCTGAGCCTAAACTGGTAAATTCTGGGAGATCCAATTTTGGGCCAGTCTGGTATGTTCCTGACAAGAAAAAAGCCCCTTCCTTCTCTCCTCCACCTCCACCACCTCTGCGCAGTGATAGCTTCACTGCCACCAAGGGCCATGAGAAGGTTCAGGGTCCTCTGTTCTCAGAGGTGGTCACCATGCAGCACTTTACAGCTCTGACCCGAGTGCAGCCCCGAGGGGAATGGAGACCAGAACCAGAAGATCGGCAGCGAAGGCTGGCACGCTCGAGCAGCAGGAAGGAAACAGGAGGCTCAGGCTTCACACCTGAAGTCCACCTGGACTGTGGTTGGCTGGGTTCCAATGACAGGGCAGGCAGCTTCCCAGGGGCTCCAGGCAGGCTCCAGGCCTCCCTGTCCAGTACTGATGTATGTTTCCCACAGCCTTACCATGGGGGCCAGCACCCACACCAGTGCAGCGACGAGAGCCCCAAGGCCCCCACGTTGCCAAGGGTGCTGCAGAATGTGGCTCTGTGTGGAGGCCAGCAGGAGCCTCCTGCCTTATGCTGCCAGGATCATAGCACCCCTTATGTGAGGTGGCCCAGTAATACTGACCAGAAGGCAGACACTGGCAGGCAGAGCCATTACTACTGTGTGCCTGTCAGGCAGCCCATGCAGGGGGGTGCCCAGGTGCCGCTGCTCCAGGGGGAGTATTGGCATTTGGACACGGCCCCAGCCGGCCTTGAGTATCCTTCCATGCAGCCGACAGGCCAGAGCTCACGATGCCACCTACTTCAGTGTGAGGAGGCCATGGATGCCCATGACAGAGAACGGTGTCTCCCACTGAACACAGGGGCTCAAGCCTGCTTTTCAGGTATCCAAGAGCCTCCCCAAGCCAGCCACACAGAGAAAGCCAGTCTGCAGAAAACCAGTGATAGCTTCAAGTGGGTGGATGGAGAGAGCAGCAGGATCTCTCACCAGAAGACACCCATGCTACACTCCTTGACCCAGGAGAGGGTGCGCCAGCCTGAGACCAGCCAGGACAGTGGCAGTGAGAAGCTGCCACCATTTGATGCTCAGGTGGGGAAACCCACACGCAGAAGTGACCGGTTTGCCACCACATTGAGGAATGAGATCCAGATGCGCAGAGCCAAGCTGCAGAAGAGCAAGAGCACAGTGGCACTGGCTGGAGCCAGTGAGGCTGAGGAGGACACTGCTGGCTGGAGGGCTGAGGTGGGGGCCAACCCAGAAGGTTCCTTCACCAACATCTATAAAGATCACCTGAAGGAGGCCCAAGCACGCGTCCTGAGGGCCACCTCCTTCAAGCGCCGCGATTTAGACCCCAACCCAGCAGACCAGTGTTTAGGCTCATCAGAACACAGGTCTGGAGATCACAATGCCTCATCCTCATTCCCTGGAGAGCCAGGCCTGACCAAGCCATCCTTGTCTGGAGGTGGCGTGGCCCACATTTCACGCATCGGAGGCCGGAAACGGTTCACATTGGAGCAGAAACTGAAGTCATACTCTGAGCCAGAGAAAATGAATGAAGTGGGGCTCTCAGGGGACCATGGTCCTCCAGCACACCCCAGAACACCTGAAGACACTGTGGGCACCTTTGCTGACAGGTGGAAGTTTTTTGAAGAAACAAGCAAACCTATTATCCAGAGGCCAGGCCACAGACAAGCTGTCTTTGGGCCCCTGAGAGAAAAGGCAGAGAGGCCTAGGACAGCAGGCAATGGCTGTGAGCGCACAGAACCTTGGCTCCAGAAGAGGTCACGTGCCACCTCCTTTGGGGAGATTCTCAATGGTCAAAGAAAATCAGAAAAGGCGGCAGGGAAATTGGACCCACCTCAGAGACTTGGAACCTTTGCAGAGTATCAAGCATCTTGGAAGGAACAGAGGAAGCCTCTGGAAGGCAGGAGTTCTGGGAGGTATCACTCGGCAGATGACATTCTGGATGTGGGTTTGGACCAACACCAGAGGCCACAGTACATTCATGAGCGATCCCGGTCGTCACCATCCACAGAGCACTACTCAAAGGTAAGAACTGCACAAGTTGGACCACAGGCTGCCCTGATCACTGCTTTGAGACTCATATGGGACAAACCCAGAATGTGATGGTCACATATGGGCCTACTTGAGGCCAGCTGTCTGAATTTCTTCACCAACATTTCTAGAATCATCTAATGTAAAAGATACTTGAGGATAAAATCACTACTTGCATGGCAATTTTAAGTGCCGTATTTCTGCCAACCCACCTTTTGTTCCCAGTGCCCTCTTTCTAATTTCTCACTTCACTGTTTTTCCTCTTAATTACCTTGCTTCTACCTTCATGCTAAGTGAAGAACTTGGTGGGTGAGGAGGGGTTGACAAATAAAATGGTAACTTTAACGAGGTGAAAACAGGTGCTTTATCTAAAGGCTTAACATACACCAGCCACTTTTCAAATATTGATACCACTTAATTCTTATAATATTTGTTCTATTTACTATACTTTTTTTAATTTGCAAGGTTTCTGGGGAAGGAGAGCAGTACTAGGGTTTGAACTTAGGGCTTCACAATTGTTAGGCAGGCACTCTGCCACTTGAGCCATGCCCCTAGCTGTTTCTTGCTTTTAGTTATTTTTTTGATAGGGTCTTCAGCTTTTTGCCTGGGACCAGCCTTGGCCCATGATCCTCCTACTTACGGCCTCCCACAAAGCTGGGATTATAGCTGCATGCCAGCACACATGGCTTGGTTTGTTGAGATGGGGTCTCCCTAACTTTTTGCCTGGGGTAGCCTTGAACCACAATCTCAAGCCTCTCAATCTCTGCCTCACAAGTAACTGAAATTACAGGTTTGTGCCACCATACATGGTAGATACTTGCAAATACTTAGCAATTATTTTTAAAGGATTGCTCTGGGACAAAATATATTTGAAAATGCATTAAACTCCTACATAATTTTTTTAAGAAAATGTTTTAAATATTTTAAAATCTGTTAGCATATGCTAATTTTACAAAGGAGTTTCAATATGCTATTTACATACATGCATATAATATACTTTCATCAAATTTACTCTTTCTTATGCCCCTCCCCTGTAACAGTTTTTAGTGGGTTTCATTATTGTGTGCTGTTTTTTCCATTTTGGTGCTGGGATAAAAACCAGGACCTCATGCATGCTAGGCAAGCGTCGTATCCTTGTGCTACATCCCTAGTCCCCATTGCACTAATTCTAAGGTGACAGGTTTTTTTTTTTAGCACTAGGGTTTGAACTTAGGGCCTCATGCTTGCTAGATAGGTACTCTTATCACTTGAACCATTCTGCCAGCTGCTTTTTTGTGATGTGTTTTTTTGAGATGATAGGGTTTCACAAATTGTTTGCCCAGGGCTGGCTTCAAACAGTGATTCTCCTGATCTCTGCCTACTGAGTAGTTAGGATTATAGGCGTGAGCCACTGGCACCCGGCTAAGGTAACGGTTTTGATGTTTGACTTAACTTCAAGCTTTCTAGAAAACCACATGTCCTTATCAGTACTTCAGAAATCACAGTCTCTTTCCCTCTGCTTCTTCCCTTTTCTTCCTTTCTTCTCCTTTTCCCTGTCCCTGTCACTACTTTTTCTGTGTATTTGCATTGTGTTTGTGTATTTCAAAGAGAAAAATTGTTGTAGTAACAGATTCGGTTTCTTTTAATAGAACCAGTGGTAGCTTTAACACAAGATATCCAACATGTATTGAAAGAGAGCTGCCATTTTCTTTATGGCATCCTGTAATGACAGCCCGTGCAGACACTACCACCACTGTTTCAGCTTGGTCACAGTTCAGTGAGGCCTTGAGAACTCCATGCTTGCTCAGCGGGGGTGAAAAATCCCAGCCCCCACAACTCCTGGGGCCTGAGCTTTCTCCATAGTGACTTGTGACTAGCTGTCTTATTGTATTTCTTTTGACCAGTTGTATCACATGCTTTACAGACTTCTGTTCCCTGTCCAGAAGTGGATGCTGGGTCTTAGGTCAGTTGTCTCAATGAAATGCTTTGTAGAGCTGAATGGGCATGTCCTGTGGCTGCGTCTCAGTACAGGACAACGGAGATTGCAATTGGTGTTGTGGGACAGGCGCACAAGGCGAGCCCACAAATGAGGGGTTTCATAATAACATGTCGTAGTCAGATGAGTAGCTTGATGACTTGGTGTCTCATGGTGTTGCCCTTCACAGGAAGCATCTGTGGAACCTCGAAGACAGGCGGAGGACCTTGGTGAGCACCAAGTAGCATTTCCGTCCACAGTGCGTGCCGAGGAGGGCCACTCCATTCTTAGGTAGGTGAAATTTGGGTTTGGACTTACTGACAAGGTACTTTATGGAAGGTGAATGCTGGGTTAACATGCCCATATGTCTGCTTGTGTGGATGCTTGCATGATTTGCAAGCATCCCTGATGCTCTTTGAGCAGAGCCCATGTGCCTTGCAGCCCTGTCCAGAGAAGCATTGCCAAGGTGGCATTTTTGGTTTTTCAAATGGCTGCTGTGTTTTTGTACCGTGAGACACTTTATGGGGACAATAAGAAAAGTCCAGTTTAACACCCTTGAACTAAGCAATTGCGTGATGGCGTGCTTTAATCATCCAGCACAGAGCTGTGTTTGTGGGCCATGCTTTCAGATTTGGAGTTGGCTCTGAGGATCGTCAGTTAGAAAGGAGCAGGGCCCACCTTCCTAAATTAGACTTCTTTAATGAGTTGATTTTAGCTTTAAAATAGACCTTACCTGAGAGAGGCATCAGGATGTGTTACAGTGTTGCCTGACATCGTTTCACTTGTGGAGAGGATGGGATTTGAATAAAGACATAGTTATGTTGGAAGGGGCAGGAGGAGAGTGTACATCTCTACAGTTGTGGTAGACATTACTTTGCAAGGGCTGATGGGTGCATAGAAATCAGTATGCACCACAGTCTCAAGTGAGGGGTTTTTCTTTTGCCTGGTGCATCTTGTCTGGTTGTTGCAATATGCAAATTAAGCATGGACCTTAGTGCTCAAGGTTTCAATCAGCAACAACCAATTTAGATGTTACTTTCAAGAGCCTTATGTACAGGGTTTTATTTCATTTGACTTTCAACTGAATGCTGTTAGCCTTATGTGAAAGGACTAATACTCTGTGTGTACCTATGTCAGAAGTCCGGACAATTACTTTGCAGTCTGTTTGGCTAAAAATGACAACCCATGGGTAAGAAAGACTGATGAATAATCCACTGACAGAGCTTAACAGTGCCTGAGGTGCACAATCAGAGCTTTATGACTGTGGATTTTGAGCCAGTCATGTGCTGAGCGCCAGCTGTGGTTTGTTTTCAAAGCCATCTTCCAGGCGCTGCTGCAATCAGGAGTCACTTGGGCATTGCATGGCTGACTCTGCACATAGGGTCTTGCTCTGCTCCTCTACCCTGCCCCATGCATGAGCATATAAACTGCGAAGCGCGCACATGTAGTGCGGGGTGTGTATGTCTTCTGCTGTGCACTGAGAATATGGCATGAACACATGTAATACACATGTTGTGTGTGTGTGTATAAGTGACACTGTCAATACTGAACAGGTCAACAGGAAGGGAGGAGGGGCCATAGACTTTATTTATTGTGGCAGTATCTTCCAGCATACTGTGTAACCACTCTGAAGAAATTAGTTCCAGAAGCATTCCATTTTTGAACTACAAACCCAGCAATTTTCCGAATTGTCATGTGTGTGTTTTTAAGAATGGCAAGGCCCAATGAAATTCTAGAATACGAATGTTTAAAACTCATTTTCAACTTTTTCCTGACACCATTTAATTTTCTGAAGGATCGGCAAGAAAGAATATGCTTGAAAATTAAATTTGAGAATAATTAAAATGAAAGTTAAGGCAAAGGACTGTTCCTTTCCCTACCAAAATCAAAATCTATAATGCAGGTTTAATGATACCCAATGTTTTGTACAAGTTTAAAGTAATGTAAACATGTTGTATAATGAATGGATTACTGATCTGGTAATGAACACATGCTAATAAAAAGTGGTTTTGTGGTGTTCTATTAGGATAATAGAAGAATGTTGATATAGGGATTATTTTAATTTGCTGGTTGTTCATCCTAGTCAAATGGAGATTAATTTTTTGTTGCATGTTTAAAGATCCTATAGGACCTTACAGTTTAGGAGGGAAATAATGCCACAAATATTTACATACTGATGGGATGACCTGTAATCTTTAAACAAGTTACATGGGAGCTGGGCATGGTGGTGCACCTCCATAATCCCAGCACCAGGAAGTTGAGGCAGGAGGATCTCAAGTTTGAGACTAGCCTCACTACATAGTGAGACCTTCTCTTAAATAACCAAACAACCACAAAAAGGTTACATGGTACATCTGAAATCAGGAGAAAATGTTGTGATATCCAACTGGGTTATGGAGAAGACAGGACATTGTGGGGCAAGAATAAGCCTGACCCCAAAGGAGCAGATCCAGTGGCATTTGCTTACCTCCTCCATGTCCTGCCCTGAGCAGCCTGCCTCACCTGTGCATGTCTTGCCTGTTCCATAGGGCTTCCGCTACTTTCAAACGTTCTATGCTGGACTTCCAATCCCAGTCATTCTGCTTCTTGCAAATGCTTTCTCCCTCCAATGTGGGAGTTCCTTGAACACTGGGTATTGAAGTTCCCCATATGCACAGCTGGGATCATAAATAGCAGAGATTTATTGTCCCACAGTACTGGAGGCTGGAAGTCCAAGGTCAAGGTATGGTAAAGGCTGGTTTCTCCTAAGGCCTCTCTCCTTGGCTTGTAGATGCCATCTTCTCCCTGTGTCCTTACATAGTCATCCCTCTGTGTATGTCTGTGTCCTACTCTCCTCTTCTCATAAGGACATCAGACAGATTAGGTTAGGGCCACCTTAGTGTCATGCCTGTCTCCAAATATAATTACATCATGAGATACTGGGACTAGAGCTTCAACATACAAATTTTGGAGGAGATACTGTTCAGTCCATAACCTAGCAGAAATGTCTTTGTTTCTTTCACATACCTTTATGCTAGTGAATTCTCTCCCTTTGTCAGAAAGTGTTCCATCATTGAGCTGGTGAGATTTCACATTCCCAACTGCTAGGAAAGCATTTAAAATGAAGAGCGAGGGGAGCTGCTGCTCTCTGTGCAGCTGAGAAGAGAGGAATTTGGTGGAATCTGTCTGGAGGGCTTTGGGGCAGGGTGCAATTATAACCTTGCAATTACACACCCTCCCTCTGGTTCAGTAGTTGTATTTCTAAGAATTTACCTTCAAAATGGAAGTCTGCTGCACTGTGAACAGTGATGTCCTCTGCAGACTGCGATGGTGGGAGGAGAATGGCCACAGCATTCTCCTTGTATTTGTATTTGCATCACCACGCATTTGCCACACCCTTCTCTTGATCTGTGGGTACTCCCTTCTCATTCCTGCCTGCCAAGACTGATAGTTCCAAGAAGACCAGGATTTTATCTTTTCTTTTTTAAAAATACCTTTATAATTCCTATACAGATTGGCAGGTGAGTGGACTGGTAAATGGATGAGTGAAAAGATGGATGGACTAGTCCTCGGGTAAATGATAGAGAGGTTGGTGGGTGGGTAGAAGAATAGATGGGTGAATGACCGATGGATGGATGGATAGATGAATGAATGAGTGGGCAGATGAATAGAAGGATGGGTGAGCTGAATGAATGGATGGATAGATGGGTAAATAAGTGGATGGGTTGATGGAAAGTGGATGGATGGGTGGGTGAATGAGTAGACATGGAAGGATGGGTAAGTAGATTAATAGATGGGTACTACCCCAAACTTCCTTAAGCTTTTTTTTTTTTTTGGCAGTACTGAGGTTTGAACTCAGGGCTTTGCACTTGCTAGGAAGGTGCTCTACCACTTGAGCCACATCTCCAGCCCTTTTTGCTCTGGTTATTTTGGAGATAGAGTCTCACTTTTTGCCCACACTGGCCTGGACTATGATCCTCCTATTTTAGGCTTTCCTCAGCCATAGCTGGGACAAAGGGCACTGCTACAACCAGTTTCTTCCCTCCCTCATGTTGAGACTGGATCTTATGAACATTTTTTGCCCAGGCTGGCCTGGAACCAAAATCCTCCTCATCTCAACCTCCTGCATAGCTAGGGATGACAGGTATACACCACTGCACCCAGCTTATTGATTGAGATGGGGTCTCAAGAACTGTTTGCCTGGATTGGTCTCAAATACAGTTTTTCTTAAACTTGGTGGCTGATGAGTCCATGGTGGTATATTCTGTATGCTGAAAGTTTATTTAAGGCTTTAGTTTATATGCCAGTAGGTAAAATGGGCTATACTTATCTTAAGCATCATCAAAAGAAATCTGGTAGCAAGGACTTGTTTTCCAGCATTATACTTTAAACCTTGTAAGAAAATTAAGATGTAATATGTTTGATTGTTGCTCCTTCAATTTGAATATCTTCAGTGAGGATTGTGTTCTAGAAGGCTCTAGGAACTGGAGCTTAGATGAGATCTGGGGGCAGCTGCTGTGGCTGTAGGTATTGGTAGTATCCCTCTCCGCTGCCTTATCCTAGCCATTTCTGCCCACGCTTGTGAGACTACTGCCAAGCACAGAAGTAAGTACTGACTTCGGGCTCATATTATTTGGAATGTTGGGGAAGAATGAGAGTATATCCTAAATCCCAATATAGCCAACAAAACTGAAGTAGAGGTCTTTAGGGAAAGTTTGCTTTAATATAAAATTCATAAACTAGCTAGACAAACATGAAGGTTGTCTTCTTGGATGTTTTCCCAGAGAGGTGATTTGGTGTGTAGAGGTTAATGTGAAGACCAATTTTTCTTTTAAAACCATCTTCTGTTGAGTAGATTTCAGAATAAGTAACAAAGATTAATCATCCAAGCCCTACCCCATGCTTGTGGCTTTAGGGCAGACATCTACAGTGCCTGGCCTTCAATTAGCTGAGGAGCAATTGAAGCTTTCCATTCTGAACTGCTCTGCTTACTGGGTAATTATGCAGCTTGTGCTGGGTGGGTCCAGATAACCAGGCGAAACTCAAACTTTGAATTTTTCAGGACAGAGCCAGCATTCAGTATGTGGTCCTCTTCAGTGTAGTACCATACAGGGTAGAATAGAAAAGTTCTTTTGTGCAGGGAGTACTTGCAAACACAGCAGCGTCATCCAAGAAATGCAAAACAGCAGCCTCAGGAAAAAGATGGGAGCATGAGACTAGCAGGTTTGGTTTAATGTTGTAATTTGCATCTTCATTTTCCCTTTGTATTTATGTCACGTGGACTTAGGAAACCCACAGCCTGGACAGGGGAT